CATCTCCCACGCCGCCGCCGCCGCCCGCCTCGCTGTCGCCGCCGTCACCGTCCGCATCTCCCACGCCGCCGCCGCCGCCCGCCTCGCTGTCGCCGCCGCCGCCCTCCACGTCGCCCTCGTCCTCGTCCTCGCCTTCGCCGCCCTATCCTTGCCGCCTCCGCCGTGGCCGCCGCACTCGCCCTCCGCCACCGCATCCCCACCCTCGCCGTCGCCTCCGCCCTCGCCGCTGCAACCATCGCCGCTGCCGCCCTCACCGCCACCGCCGCCGCCGCCCTCGCCGCCGCCGCCCTCGCCGCCGCTCGACTGCCCGTGCCTCACCGCCTACCCGGCCGGCGTCAGCCTCGTGAGCCTCGCGTACCCCGGCACGTACGGCCTTCACGGGTGCGACCCGCACGACAGCGGGCTCGAGCCGTCCTGCAACTCGACCGGCTACCCCGTCCGGTGCGAGCACGAGTGGTGCTACGTCGACCCGGCCGCGTGCAACACCGAGTACAGCACGACCGCGTACGTGGTGGGCGCCGCCCTGCACTACTCGTACCGTGCGTGCGGCTTCAGCAACGAGTTCGAGAGCTGGTTCTACCAGCCGCCGCCGCCGTCGGCCGCCGCCGCCGTCGCCGCCGCCGCCCTCGCCGCCGCCCTCGCCGCCGCCCTCGCCGCCGCCGCCTCCCGGCAAGCCGCCGCTCTCGCCCTCGCCACGTCATCCCGCAGCTGTCGCCACCACCGTTGACGCCGCCTTCCTCGCTGCCGCCCGCAAGGCCGTCTCCGTCAGCACCACCGCCGTCATCGCCGCCTCCGTCAGTGCCGCCACCGCGAGCACACCGCCTCCGTCATCGCCGCCACCGTCGACGCCGCCACCGTCAGCACCGCCGCCTTCTTCGCCGCTACCGTCGACGCCGCCACTGTCAGCACAGCCACCGTCATCGCCGCCGTCATCGCCGCCGCCGCCGTCGCCGCCGCCGTCATCACCGCCTCCATCGACGCCGCCTCCGTCGTCGACGCCTCCGTCGACGCCGCCATCCTCTGCCACAGCGCCTTCTCTGCCGTCAGTTTTCGTCCATCAGCCCTTCGTCCTACCGCCCTCTGCCAGCTCGCTGCCGCGTGTCCATGCCCTCGCGAGCCCGCTCCGCGCACATCCCCCCCCCCCCCCCCCCCCGCTCGCCCCGCAGGCTTATCGACTTTGTCCCCCGCCCCCTCCCCTCTCATTCCAGACCCCGTACACCTCCACATTGCGCATAGCTGTTTGTGCACATCCAATGCAAGCGCGCCTGTCAACTTTCATGGACGCCCGTGTGCTTATGGACCACCGTGGTCGTCGCAGGTTCATGATGACGCTCTACATTCGCTGGTTTGCTTTGGCGACCCTCGTGGCCGGGTCGCTCTCTGCGTCGGTGTACGACAACCGCGAGAGCCTGTTTGCATCGGTCCCCGTCGACCCACAAGGGGGCGTCGAGGACAAGAGCGATGAGTGCTACAATGAGAAAAATGACTGCGCCAGCGGCACATTCTGCCAGGTCGAGGCGCGCCCGAATTGGCGCGTCATGTGTGCCATATGATGGTGTGGCAGCTGCTAATCGGCTACCTAACCAGTCCTGATCAACGAATGTAGGTACCCGTTCGACGTCTCCTACATGAATCGCGGCCGCTGCAGGAAGTTTGCTCCTCTTCACGGCGCTTGCGACATGCCGTTCGAAGGCGAGACCTCTTTTCCGCGCAAGGCCAATGGCCACTTCTTCACGCGCTCCACGCTCTGCAACGACCCCGAGATCACGAGCACCGCCACCGAGTCGCACACTTGCACGGGCGAGCACGTGCACGTTTTGCCGCCAACGTGTGTTGTGTCGCGCAAACCTGAGGCCGGCTGCTTGAGCACCAAGCGCAACGGGTGCGCCGGGAGACCCAGGGGTGACTGCCCTGAGGGCCACGGCGGCTCGGACGACATGTGCTTCTTGCCTAAGGACGTCCTTGTGGGGACAGCTAAAGAGGAGAACCGGGTGACCCGGCACAAGCTTGAGCAATGCGCCTCCGTGGTCGCGTCCTTCAACGGGCCGAATTTCGCCCTCCGCCTGGCCGATGGAAATGGCCTCCCCAACGACAATGCCTTCGACCCCGATAGCGGCGGCAACCCCACACAAAGCGTCACGAGGCATGCCCTGCCTCACGGGGCGCGCTTCGCCGGAAGCGTGCAGGAGGTGCTGAAGACACTGTGGCCGTACCCGGTCTGCCCCGACGGCGTCCATGGAGACAGCTGCACGACCTTCCCGGTCCCCGTGCCCCAGCGAAACGATGACGGCGGGATCCAGTTCGATAAGGAGTCCGAGACCTGGAAGTGCCTGGTGGCACCGGATTACAATTCGAGCCACACAGAGGAGTGCCCAAGCGGCAGCATGTCATTCCTCAACAACAAAAGCACCAACGGTGCGCTCGACTACCATTGCACCTGGGCCGTGCTCCACACCCTCTCCTTCAACGGCCAGCCGGTGCTCACCGCGAAGCAGAAGAAGGCCTTTGGCGAGCTCCTCATGTACATCTCGGGGCAATTCGACTGCAAGGTGTGCCGCAACAACTTTGTGGAGATCATCCAGCACTTTGGGCTGCCGACAGGCAATGTGCGCGAAGATTACGCGCGCTGGCTCTGGCAGGCGCACAACAATGCCAACGAGCACACGTACGCAACCCACTCGTATAACAAAAGCCAAGCGATCGACCACTTCTTCGACCTTGTCGACCTTTCACAAGACGAGGAAATCTCGAAGGACGAGCTAGACGCCGCCCTCAAAGGGCAGCATAAGACGCAGGTGAGCAGTTGGATTGCAGGCGAGGTGTGCAAGAAGCACCCAGAAGACGGATGCCCCAAAAAATTCGTGAAAGCATTTGATGAAAACGAGAATGACAAGGTCGACAAAACCGAGTTCGAGACGCACTTATCGGAGATGAACCCGCAGACACGCAGCAATGGAAACTGGGCGCTGCCCCCAGCCCTTCACCCGTGGTACATGACCTTTGAGAACGCGATGAAGGTCTGGACCGATCTCCCAGGGCTAGACCATCACATCTGACAGAACGTTGCTTCACGTTCAGGGTGCCGAAAAATGCCTTCAGTGGCCACACCCCTTCTTCCCACCCACGCGGACCGTAGCGCTACCGCAACTAATCGGAAAATGCAATGGAACCATGAGCCGTTAACGTGGACGTAGCCAGGACGAAGGCTAGTGCAACGCGAGCACAACCAAGCAAGGCGCGCAGATGTAATTTGCAGATCGATCACCCGACCATCCCTGCATATGCGCGGGCCTTGGTCCGGTGCCGTTGACGAAAGACGCTTGTCGGCACTGGGCCAATCCTTGAGTGCGCGCTGAACACTGACTGTGCGTGAGGGGGGGTTACTTGGGTGAGGACTGAGGAATGTCTGACTGCCTCTCTCTCTAGTCTCTTCTGGTTCTGCTCACCATTCACAGCGGTATCACGGCTTCACTCCACTCTGCCCTGTGAATGTGTTGCTGTTTTCAGCCCTAGTCTAGAGGGTGTTGTCTCTTGTGACCCCCATGAACAACACTTTTGAAGAGACATGGCCAAGCGCACTCGGCGGACGGAGCACACCTCGCCGCTGCTCTCTGCACGGCACGCACACCCCGCAGTCTCCGCACACCGGCACCGCCGCAGCGCGCAGGACAGCCCGATCTTGGCCTTCTCGCCCTCGTCATGTAGAGCTCACGGAGGGCGGCCGTTCGTTTCGGGCTCCGCCCATTATAGGTGCATGGCAGAGCACCTCTGGACACGGCGAAGAGAGGGGGTGAGGCTGCGGGAGAGTCGACCGACGCCGCCGCGCGGGGCGCGGCACACGCACGCCACCCGCAGAACACCGACCTCTCGCGAAGGCAAGCTGGCCTTTTGTCGAAATTGGTGGGGGTCCACACCTCTATTTGGGTCCAAAAAAGGCGGGGAGCAGCGCCGTGTTGTTGTTTGGGTGGGGCGCGCATGGTTCCTTGTGCACCCGGGTGCGGGGCCGAGCGTTTTTGATCTCTGGGTCTGTGGGGGGCCGAGCCGCCTCGGGGTGGCGGGCGGGCGGGCGTTTTGAAAAACACAGAAAACAGAAAACAAGAGGGGGCCCGGGGCCCAGGCCCCCCACTGGGAGTAGAAAATACGCCCAGGGGGGCCAAGGAGGCGGCGCGGGGAAGCAGCATCATGAGAGCAGGAAGGATGGCGCTTAGGGTCGGCTTTGAACAAGGGTTTCCAGGTTTTAGATCAGTATTTGGTCGTGTCGGCACACATCCCCACATGAGGTCAGCGGCGCGCAGTGCCTCTCTCGCAGGCTGATTTTGGCTGTTTTCGAGCTTGTTTTTGTTTTCAGTCTAGGGGGCCCGACCCCCTCCAGAGGCGGCGGGCGGGCGCCCACAGACCCAGAGATCAAAAACGCTCGGCCCGGCGGGCGCGATGGCTCACCCCTGAGCGCGCTGAGCCGCGGTGCGCGGATGCGTATTTGTGTGCTCTGTACGCGAAAAAGCCGCCAACGCGCCAAGTAGCTACCGGCCATCCCAGATTTTTCTCTCGAGATCGAGACGTCGGTCCATGTGCCATGTGTGCATGTGTGCGCTCCTCGCGCTCACAATGCGGACGCCGGGCAGCGCGCCGCCTTCGCAGGGAAGGGCAGCGTGCGCGAGATGAACTCGCCGCCCGGTGCACCGATAAGCTCGAGGCGGTCGGCGTGCACCTGCACGGGACGTGGACGAGTCATGGACGTGTCCTGGTGTGTCCCTGTCGTCTCCCGGCGCGTGGCGCGCGCACGTCGACGTGGCCAAACGAGTCCCGGTAGTTGAGCGGAGACTGCAGCGTGACGTGGTGGATGCCCGACTCGTCCGCCGCGTAGCCGCCGCGGTGCAAGTGGCCGGCCAGCACGGCGACGACTCGGCCGCCGCCCTCCGCCTGCAGCAGCGCGAGCGCCTCGTCGGCGTCGTACAGCAGCGTGCGAGCCGAGGCGGCCGGCTCGTACATCGGCAAATGCGAGAGCACGACGATCCTGTCGTCGCGCGCCACGGCGGCGCGGACCTCCTCTCGAAGCCATGCAAGCTGCGCCTCGCCGAGCCCGCCGTTGAACGGGACGTATCTATATCACGAGGCTCCGAGACAGTTCCGAGAAGGCTCCTCGGCGCGGCGCGCCCGCTCAACGGCACACGCACCGCAGCAGCCGCGGGTCCTCGATGCCGGCGAAGAAGTTGACGCCGCTCTTGCCTACGGAGGACGGCACCGACAGCCTTCCGAGAAGGCTCCTCGCGTGCGAACGCGGTGGCGCCCCTCTCTGCCCGCTACGACCGCCTCGTAGCAGGACGGGTTGTGCCGCTGCAGCAGCTCGGCGGCGGCACGGTAGCCAGGGAGCGCCTTTGGTCGACAGGGCCGCGGGAGGCTGTCACTTCCATCAGAGGCCAGTGCTGACGTCAGGCATCAAGGCTCGATCTCGGGTCTCACTTCCATCAGAGGCCAGTGCTGACGTCAGGCGTCAAGGCTCGATCTCGGGTCTCACTTCCATCAGAGAGGCCAGTGCTGACGTCAGGCATCAAGGCTCGATCTCGGGTCATCTCGCGCCCTTGGCTGCTCCATCGACACGGCGTATGCGTTGAGCAACACAAAGGTCCATCCCTTGCACGGCTGCCAGCTGACAGGCCGCAGCGCCGCGGCTGCGTCAGCGCCGGCGGCGTCGCTCCCACCTTCAGTGACGACAGACCCTGCCTCCGGCATCTGCAGCCGCGCGCGCAGGCCCGCCCAGTCGAAGTTGTACAGCTCGTGGTTGCCTGACGGGCCGTGACGTCGGGAGCGTCGCGGGAGTGTGCAGGAGAGCGGTGCATTGGAAGAGCGACGGTTGCCGACAGCGTGGTAAATCGGAGCTTTACAAGCGCTCAGCGCGCCGCACACGCGCCCGAGTGCCGCCTCCGACTGCGGGCCGTCGAAGGTCAAGCCCGCGCCGTATCCGCCGGCATTCTGCCCGTCGATGATGTCGCCGAGGTTGAGAATGCACGCCGCGGACGGCTCGCGCAGCGCGTTCCAGTGCTCGACGGCTCGGCGCGTCTGCTCGAGCGTGCCTCTGTACTTGCGGATCTCCGTGCCGGCAAAGTTTGAGGCGTCGTCGCAGTCGCAGTACTGGATGTCGGCGATCACGCCGAAGCGGAACAGCGGCCGGCCGGCGGCGGATGGCTCAGAGCTGGCCGAGGAGGCGAGGGCGGCGCTTGCGGCGAGGGCGCACGCGGCGGCAGGTGTGTGGAGCCGGAGCAGTGCGCGCATCACATGCCAAAATTTTAGAAGAGAACTAATGGCGCGCCATGTGGCTCCGGGCCCCGCCCTCACTCCAGACAAAGACGGGTACACGCACACGAGCCGCGGTCGTGTACCCGTCTTAGCGGCGAGGCGCGGGACCGTCTGTGGCGAGGTGGGTCGCTCCCTGCTCCCTCGATTTCCGTCAACCCAGCATCCACACCCTTTAACCCGGCTGCGGGCTGGTCGGCTCGTGTGGAAACTTTGGGTGGCATTCCGAATGCGGCATTGCGCCGCCCACCAAGCAGTTCCTCCTCCACGTGTTCGCCAAGGAAACGGTGGGCACCAACACGGACCCGTCGCACTGCTCCGGCGTGGGTGCACCAACCCGGCGTACGCAACCCACGCAGGGAACAAACACGTGATCGTAGTGCCCCGCTCGTCCTACCCAGACCGACACCGAGCCGGGGGGGGCGCCCTCACCTCATGCATGCCAGACCTTGCCCCGTCCTTGTCCTCTGCCGCCTCGCCGCCGCTACCTCTCCTCGTCCGCTGCGTCTCGGACCCCTCGCCTTTGACGCGCCGCCGCCCGGGAAGTACTTTTCTGCCCGCCTCTGGCAAAGTGGAGGAGAGCGCACCCGCGCGCCTACGCCTCCCTGCCCCCTCCCTCTTCTCCGCTCCCTCACGCGGCCGCCCCTCCGTCGGCCCAGTGCTGCCTACGGGGAGAGCTCCGAGAAGCCTCAGTCGAGTGAGCGCTGGAGAGGCTCGGCGCCGGCGCCGAGTGCTGCCGGTAGACGTCGAGCTCCGCATCGGTGAGCAGGCATTCGTCGAAGAGAGCCTGGGGAAGGGGGGGGGGGGGGAGGGGGGGAAGGGGAGGAGGGGGAGGGGAGGGGAGGGGGGGGGGAGGGGCCAGTGAAGGGGGAAGGCCAGGCAGGCGTCTTCGACACGTGTGCGCCAGGGACGCCATCTCTCTCGGCCGAAGGTCGGCCATCTCTCGACCTCTCGGCGAGATCGCACCGTGATCTTCTTGACGTCCATCGCCACGCCGATGAAGACCATCTCCTGGCGCCGGTCGCCAAACTCGCCCGCAAAGTCCTTCTTGAGGTCCGCCTGCTCCTCGGCGTCCTCGGGCCAGTCCTCCTCCTGCAACGCCGTGCCGCGTCCTCAGCGCACCGCATGGACGCGAAATGCCGCATGCCGCATGCGTTGGCATTGGCAGTGCATCGACTGTCTAGCGGTGGCATACAGCGGAGTGCGTGTCCTCTCGAGGGGGGAGGGGGTGTGCCGCCGACTGCGCATCTAGCCGTCGTGCCCCCACCACCGCCCACCAGGTTGCGTACTGCGTGAGCTCGAAGTGCTTGCCCGCCAGCTGCCAGTAGAAGATCTGGACGGGGCGAGGCGCCGAACGGGCGTGAGATCACCCGAGATCACCCGAGATCACCCGAGATCACCCGAGATCACCCGAGATCACCCGAAGCCACCCGAGGCCACCCGAGGCCAGCCGAGAGTGCGCGATGGCGGCGCCTGCGAATGCGAGTTGGACAGCCACACGAAGCCCTTGGAGCGAATCAGCGCCTGCATCGGCGACCGCTCCTCCGCGCCCTCCGCAACCGCGGCCGGCGCGGCGGCGGCGTCTGCGCCGGCGCCGCCACCGTCGGCGGCGGCCGTGGCGCCGGGCGCCTTGGTCGCGAGAGCCTCGGAGAGAGCAAGCGCCTCCCTCCGCACGGGCAGCTGCCGGATGACCGCCATCAGCCGGTGCGGATGGAAGGGGCGGCGGCGCGAGTAGCAAAAGGAGGTGATGCCGAACCGGAGCGCCTCGCGCGACTGCTTGTGGCCGCCGCTCGCGTGGCCGTGGTCGTGGTGCCCGTGCTGCTCGTGGTGCCCGTGCACGAGCACCTAATCTCGGGTAATCTCGGGTAATCTCGGGTAATATCGGGTAATCTCGGGCAGAAGAGGCCGAGCTCGTGGTGGCCATGCGCCTCGCCGCCGCCACCCCCGCCCCCGCCGGCGTGCGCGTGGTCGTGCGACTTGTCGGTGCAGGTCGCCGCGTCATGGCCGTGCTCCGCATGGCCGTGCTCCGCATGGCCGTGGCTCGGCGCAGGCCCCGTGGCGGCCGCGTGGCCGTGGTCGTGGTGGCCATGCTCGTGCAGGTGCGTGACGATACGGCGCATCTCCCCGTCGCTGTCGAGCTTCGAGACGCCCTGCCCCTTTGCGGCGCCGAGGATGGAGGTGGGCTCGACGGCGCCCCTCGTGCTGTCGAGCAGCTTGGCGTGCGGGTTCAGACTGCCGATCGTCTCCTTGAGCAGCGCCAGCTCCGCCTCGGGAGCGAGGTCGAGCTTGTTGAGCAGCACGACGTCGGAGCACTCCACCTGCTCGCACATCAGGTCAACCACCTGCCGCGTGTTGTCCTCCGAGTAGCCGTCCGCGCCCAGGTCCTGCCTCTCCTTGATGCGGTTCCGCTTCTCGAACTCTGCGAGGAAGGTGGACGCGTCGACGACGGTGACGAGGGTGTCGAGGCGGGTGCCGTGCAGGTCCTCCGGCATGGTGAGCTGCGCGTTCTTGAAGTTGTCGCGGATCTCGCGCGGCTCCGCCACGCCCGAGGACTCGACGACGATGTGGTCCCACTGCATGTTGCGCCGCTCCGCGCTCCTCATCATCGTCCCGATCGACTGGAGGAACTCCTCGCCGAGCGAGCAGCACGCGCAGCCGTTGGCGAGCTCAATCAGGTCCTCCTGCTTGGAGAAGCCGCCCTCGCCCGCCGCCTTGCTCGAGACGAGCGCCTTGTCGATGTTGACCGCCGCCACGTCGTTGACGATGACGCCGATCAGCAGCCCGGCCTTGTTCTCGAGCAGGTGCTTGAGCAGAGACGTCTTGCCCGCTCCGAGGAAGCCAGAGATCAGCGTCACCGGCACGACGTGATGCTCCGCCTCGGCCTCGCGAGGACGCTTGGCGGGAGGCTCGGACATGTATTCAGCACGCGGCCGCGGCTTCTCTGATGCCCTTGATGGCTGACGACGGCGCACCACACAGCGTACTCCGAGTGAGCACTGCTCGGGGACCAAATTTTTCTTTTTGCATTTATCCTATAAAGGTGCCATCGACTGGGGGGGCGACAGGGAGGATGTGGCCTTGAGTTATGTGTACGCCAACTCAGGGTGTGTGGCAGCCAGCTGGCTGTGTGTCTTGTGAGCTTGTTTTGTGTCTGTGTGTCGCTCGTGCGTGTCGTCATCATCTGTCTTGCGTCCACCCATACCGCGTTGGTGTCCAGTCCGAGCCTGGCTGTTCTTCACCTTTCTACCTACCTACCTACCTATCGACTGGGTTTGCGATGAGGAGCGACAGACAGGGGGGGGGGGGGAGAGAGAGAGAGAGAGAGAGAGAGAGAGAGAGAGAGAGAGAGAGAGAGAGAGAGAGAGAGAGAGAGAGAGAGAGAGAGAGAGAGAGAGAGAGGGAGAGAGAGAGAGAGAGAGAGAGGGAGGGAGCGAGAGAGAGAGAGAGAGAGAGAGAGAGAGAGAGAGAGAGAGAGAGAGAGAGAGAGAGAGAGAGAGAGAGAGAGAGTCTGTTCATTTTGGGGGTCACCCGCCCCATCATGCATCCGCGAACTCGCTGTCGGTGTGCGAGAACTACTCCGCGTGAGCCCGCTCGTTGGACGTTGCTGAGTGAGAGAGATTTTTAGCAATACCAAACAACTCTAACACTCACACGTCATTTGGGGCCTGGAGCCCTGGCAGCCCTGTTCACACGCGCGCGCGAGACGTGCAGACAGGGTTGCCAGGTGAGAGCGAATGGCGCGGTTCACGCCTCGCACAACAGAGAGAGAGATGCGCTCTGCATGGTGGGACATAAAAGAGAGCGAGTACTTGGGTGAGTAGGCCGTGCGGTCGACGCTGCCGCGCGCGACTTTGCGCGCGAGGCGGCGCAGCTTGAGAACGGCGGTGGGCGAGAAGCCGCCGCCGAACGTCTCGTGGAGCAGCAGGTTGAAGTTGTTGCGCTTGACAAAGATCGCGTCGTGGTAGAAACCGCGATGCGCCTTGACGTAGCCGTGGCCGTTCTTGTGGTCGAAGGGTTGGCCGGGCTGCCCGCGCGCCTTGCAGCCCATGTTTAGGCGGCGGGCCTTCTCTTCGGTGTTGCCGAAGGCGTAGGAGTGGCCAACGGAGGCGGGCGTGCCGCCGCTCGAGGCGTTGCCAACGCCCGTCGAGGAGGTCTTGAGGAGGGGCGTCCAGAGCTTGATTTCATTTACTTCATCGCATCCTCCCGGCCCAGCGTGGGGTTCTGCGAGGTCGACCTTGTACCCCTCGTTGTACTGCCGGGTGAGCCCTGGTTTCTCCTTGTCACCGTGCACGACCGGCGCGTTGGCCGGGGCGCGCATCGCGTCCGCCCAGGCGGCGAGGACGCCGTCGTGGGGCCGCCGGTGGTGGGCCTTGTTGTAAAGGTACTCGCCGAAGAAATCGACCGGCATGCCCCGCTCGAGCGCGACCCGAAAAAAAAATTGCGTTTTATCCTGCGAAAGACACTACTCTCCCCCTCCCGTCACTCGTCCCCCTTGGCGTGGCGCGCCTCTCCCCCAGCTCTCGGTATCGCGTACTGCACGAGGCTACCGTGGGCCTCGCCTGCGCGCTGGGGGTTCCCTGCCCTGTTGGGAAGCCTAGCTCTTAACCTGGGGTCGCTACCTAATGCGGGGCTCCTGGACGGGCGATGAAGTTCGCCTTGAGTCTCTCGTCTCGCTTTGCCCCCGACTCGCGTCCGTCGGGGGTACTCCCTCTGCCTCTGGCTCTCTGGTCTCCCCCCCCCCCCCCCTCCCTCCCTCTCCGGGATGAGATGCGCCCTGCTGTCCCTAGAGGGGGGTCGGGTAGGTCTTCCGACCCGTCTGTGTATGCCACCCAGTCGGGCGAGCGTCGTTGCGCCTGTTCTGTCAGTCGCTGCTGTGGGGGCGAAGAACGACCCCTGGTGCCTCGACCATTAGTCTCAGCTTTACCCGGCATGCCCCCCCTTCACCCTGAGGCGCTACACAGAGGAGTGCGACTGTGCTTACCGCGCAGCCGTTCGCCGCCACCCCTCGCCGCCACCCCTCGGACAGATTCGAGCGTCTCGGGAAGCTCGCAGTCGCACTCGCCTTCGCTGGAAAATTTTTTTACAACAAAGCTCCCTGAAAGAATTAAACAAAACAACTCTCTCTCACAGCAGACAGGCTCGACACAGGTGCGAACTGGCGCGTGCCAACAAAAGGCAAAGCACTCCGTCTCCCACTCCGCAACAGCACCCAGGGGTTTTACCAAGCTGCCAACCCATTTCACGCACTCCGGGCCCTGGGCTGGTTGGTTGGTCCCGCACTCTGCGCACTCCAGGCCTCCAGATGTTGGTTGGTTGGTCCCGCACTTCGCGCACTCGCGTAACGGTCGGCCACGCCGTAACGGTCGTAACGGCTCCTTCCCCTGGCACCCCAGCGCGTCTAACAGGCCACTGTGACCCTCGTGACGCAATTTCAGGATGGACAGTGGTGAGAAGATGGATCTGGGAGCCTGAAGAGGCGTGAAATAGCCCATTTTGACCCATTTTGATGTCCTACGTGTTGAATACGCGGAGCGAAGAAATTTTTGACCCGTGGGCGACCCTGGCAGGACCCTGGCCGGCCCCAGGAGGTTGGTTGGCTGGTCCCGCACTTCGCGCACTCGGGCCCGGAAACAGTTGGTTGGTTGGTGGGGTCTTTTGCGCAGTCTGGGTGATACATGAAACCTGTTCTACCGTTTGCACCGTTTGCACCGTTTCTGGGCACGTATAAAATTTTCTTCGCTCCGCGAATTCAGACAGAGAGTAAGTAGGCTGGAGATAAAGAGTTTTGTACCCACTCGACGAAAAAATCTTAATACTCCGACTTGTGTCGAGTGACGCTTTTCGGAGAACTGCCTCTACGAGTCCGGAGACGGTCTCAAGGTGCGTGCGCGTGCGGCACGAAGAGGGGTGTCTGCCGCGTGTCCGGTTTTGTTGTTTGTCGTGTCCGGTGCCTCGAACGAGCAAACAAGTGCCTGGATCGTTCGTGAGCACGTCTCTCACTCTCTCAAAACGGTGCAAACGCGCAAACGGTACCGTATGGTAAAACCACGGGTACCGGTACCCCCTCCCCTGGCAAGCATGTTGCTCTGCACTTCTCTCCTCCTCGCGCTGCAGCCTCGGCTCGTGCCGCTGGCGCCCGCCGCGCTCGCCCGCTCCCCGCAGCCTCGGCTCAGCTTGGACGACACTCTCGTCCAAGCCCTCGCCGTCTCGGTCGTCGGGCTCGCTTTCCTGAGCGATCGCGAGCCGCCGGTGCCAGCATCGCAGCGCCGCACATCGCAGCGGCCGCGGCCGCCGCCGCCGCCGCCGCCGCCGCCATCACCACCGCCGTCACAAGCGTCAACCGCCGATAAGAACTCGGCCGCGAGCGCCACCGCCGGCGGCGGTCGCCGCGGTGCGCTCGTCTTTGGAACTGCGGTCGCCGGTGCGATGTTTGCGGCCGGCGACCTGGTGGGGGAGGAGCGGCTGGCGGCGCGGCGGCGCGGCGAGGAGCTGGACCTGCTCGATGCGACGGCGGCCGTCGCTGCGCGTGAGCCCGCCCAGGTGCGCACCGCGCAGGCCGCCGCGACCGCCGCGCTCGCCGCAACCACTATAGACGCCGTGTCGGGGCGTCGCGCTGCGCTCTCGCTCAGCCTGATTGGCACCTTCTTCTTCCTCGGCAATGAAGTCGGCATGCAGCGGCAAGCCGGCGCCGCGGCGAGCAAGGATCCGACGCCGTGATCGCGGCGCCACGGCGGCCAGTGTATCCGCCCAGCGTCAGCGACGGCAGGGTTATTTACATAGCGCGCGCGAAGCATCGATGACGCGAAGCACGTTTTGGTTGACCGACCCGAGATCCGAGAGAGAACTCTCATCTATCTCAGGACTAGCGAGCCCGAGAATGTGTGCGAGATTATCATTTATCTCTGCGCACTGCTCGAGGGGCGCACCGGCCACCGGGGAGGCTGCCACCGCGCACCCTGCCGCTCCCTGGCCCCACTGGCACTGCGCGCGCTAGCGCGCTCTGCGGCGAGACTCTGCGGCGGCCGGCGGCTCGCTGCTTCCTCGCGTACGTTCTCTAGCCTTCTAGCCTCAGATTAGAAGCGCTTGAAAATAAGAGCATACCAAGACGCTGAGATTGGGGTGTCCGCGGACACTCTGGATGCCGCGTCACTGACAGGAGCGCGACCATCTCCGGGGTGCGGGGATTGAACGCGGCTCTCAAGACGCCGGGCTCACAGCGCGCGCGCCACGACGACGCACCGCCACACCGCGCACGCCAGACGTCTCCGAGTCGCATCCCGCGCCCTCTCTACCCCTCCTCGAATATACGCGGCCGCGAGAGGCGGCGGCAACTCACACCGTTCTGCTCGCCATCATGACAACCTTCATGTACTTTCCCTGGGCGGGGAGCGGCGGGGAGGGAGGTGAGGAGGGGAGCGGCGGCGAGGGCAGCGGTGGGGAGAGAGCTGTGGGATATCGGAGCGGCAGGGAGGGCAGCAGAGACCTGCCTCAGCTCTCGCGCCACCGGGCCGAGCACTCGCGTCGCGATGGGGCCGGAGAGGTCCCGTTTCAGCAGCACCTGGCACGCGCGCGCATGGGCGGTGACGCGCGGCGGGCAGGCGAGTCGCGCGGCGGTGCGCGGCGATGGCAGCCGCCGCAGCAGGGGTGGCAGTGCAGGCAGTGTGTGGGCGCGCAGACCGCGGCGTTCTCGTGGAAGCGGATGGTCGTCCCGTCGTCGCGGCGGTGGCGGCCCTTCATGCGCACAATCACCGCCGCCACAATGTCCTTTTTGGACACCCTCCCCCCCGCCCTCGCCGACTTGACGACTGCACGGATAATGTCGCCGAGCCGACTGACGCTCTTCCGCACGTGGCCTATACACTTGATCTCCTTGGCGCCCGAGTTGTCCGCGACCTTCAGCATCGTCAGCCGGTGGATTGTCATGCTCCTGGCGTGCGGCACCGCCGCGCTCGCCGAGCCGACGAGTCGGTGTAGCGTTCGCAAGGCGTGCATGAAGGCCGCGTTTCTTTTTTATTCCCTCAAGAAGAATTCATCCGAGAGCGAAACCATTCATCCCCAGCAGCACCAGAGAGAGGCGCAACCTGCCCGACGCCGCCGTGTCAGATGCTCCGCGTCTCGAGCCGAGTCGCAGAGCCGCGCCGCGCCAGCAGCAGCATATGCACCAGCACCAGCAACATCACCACCAGCAGCAGCACCAGAGAGAGACAGTGCAGTGTGACAGCAGCGCAGAAGCGCTCGCAGAGCGGCGCGCAGCGCCGCGCACGCCACGCCGCGGGCGGTCGGACGGGCGCAGCGTACGTCGGCCGCGAGCCGCGTCGCCAGCCGTCTCGCGAGAGAGCGGCGCCGCCGCGTGCGCGCAGCAGCCGCCGCGGCACACACACACACACACACACACACACACGCTGAAGGACAATCTTGTTTTGTCTGTTTGTGTTCTGTCTGTCGGCAGCCGAACTTGTGATGGACACCCTCGGAATCCAACTGCGTACTACTTGGCTAGCACGCTATTGGCATACCGACGGCTAAGGCCGAAAGCGCATATCTATTTTTGCTGCAAGGTCGTCCCAGGGAGCAGCCCAGGGGCGCCACGTATAGCAGCCTGACAGCTCGCCGCGCTACCTATTTTTGCGGCAAGGTCGTCCCGCGTCTACACACCGTGGAGCTCCAGAAAAAGCCGCACGCACCACCGCTGTGTCGATTCAACGAGTAATCAAAAGCAATTCGCCAAGGAGGGGAGGCGTGAAGAGCACTGTGCTTGATCTCCGTCTCCGAGAACGCCGACAACGACGGTCGCTGCAGGACTCGAGTGACCATTCCATGCTGGCCATCCTCTCTACCACACCAGCTGTTCATTCGTCAGCCGAGTTGTACGAGCCGGCGGCAGCGGTGACAGCACCCTACCCGACCGCGGGCGGGGTGGCGCGCCGGTCGACGGGCGGCGGCGGTGCCACGCGCAGACGACGCGGCCCTTGGGCTGTTGTGCCACAGGCGCAGCCGGGGCCGTCGGTCGTGCTGCTGTATCACATCGAAAAGACGGGCGGCTCGGCGGTGATGAAGTGGCTCAAGCGGCAGACGCATGCGCCATCGCGGCTGGCTGCAGTCTATTCGTACTCGCAGACGTCCTGCTTCTTTGCCCTGCACGCGGACCTCTTCCCTGGCATGGAGCCGCGCTGGCGCGACAAGCTCTGCGGCGGCGCCGCGCCTCTCGACTGGCGCTCCTCGAAAGTTGCAGTCGAGTTCCACTCCTACTCGAAGGGCTTCTTCCTGCGCAGCGTGCTCCCTGCCCTCGGCGCGCTAAAGCGGCGGTACGCAGAGGCAAACGGCACGGTGGTGGCCGTCACGTCGATCCGCGAGCCGGCGTCGCACCTGCTGTCCAAGTACCGGATGTGGCCGCCGCGCACGGCCGACCGCACGCACGCGGTGCCCCTGCCCGCTTGGCTGGCGTCGGGCGAGGCGCACTCGCTGCAGAGCCGAGCGCTGCTCTCGGAGCGGCCGGCGTTGCCTGGCTGCGAGGGGCTCACCGAGGCGCGCGCCGCGGCTGGGGAGGAGACGCGTCCACGACACGTCCACCGCATGTACGCGACACGTCCACCACGTGTCCGCGACACGTCCATGACATGTCCCGCAGGCACGCGCGCGGCTGGGCCAGTTCGACGTCGTCGGCGTCACCCACTGCTTGCGCCCTCTGCTCGCTGCGATCGAGGCGCGGCGCGGCCTGCCGACCTTGCCCGGACCCTTCTCGGACCCTGCTCGGACCCTTCTCGGACCCTTCCTGTAGGAGCGGCTCGGCCTCCCGCACGACCCTGCGCGGACTGGCGCCGCGCTGGCGGCGTACCACCGCCCGCAGCACTGGGGCGGCGCGATCGGCCGCGAGGCGTCGGAGTGGACGGCGTCGCGGCTCAATGCGACGGGGCGAGAGGACTGAGGCGACACCGAGGCTACCCCCGAGACTGCCCGAGACCGTTCGAGACTGCCCGAGATGTAGGCGACGCCTCTTGGGCGACGCGACGCGGTGCGACGAAAGCCTCTACAGCGACGCTCTCCGCAGGCACCGGAATCACAACCGAAAGACCCAAGTCCCCTCCGATTCCAGGACCACCCCCCGCACCCTCCCCCTCCTCGCTCATTTGTCAACTAGCTTTCCCTCCTCTCCAACGCTGGCCGTATCCATGGAGGGGAGAGCCTAGAGCCAGACTCCTTCCCTCCGCAGGCAGCCCCCGCCGCTCGAAACAAAGGAATCCGTCAAAACACTCTGTCAACCTCCGGCGGCAGCAGCTCAATGGCGGATCTGGCAGAGTATCCCGAGGGCAGCGGAGAATACTACGTTGATGTCCGAGGCGATTGGGTCAGGGTGAGGGTGAGGGAGGAGGGGGAGGAGGAGTTCGGCGCTTGGAGCGGTGCCGGACAGGGGCCCACAGGGGAGGAAAATGGAGGACAATGTCGACACCGCTCTGATTCGACTTTTAACTCTTCAAACAATCAGTGGCACGCGCCGCAGTGCGTGCCACTGTAGCGGATCCGTCTACAGTTAGTTCGATCAGTAGTCGGCTCCATCTCGATGTGAGCACACATGCCCCACGCCGAGCGAAGGGGGGGTGTCTTGACGAGTCGTTTGAGTAGGAATTAGTGTCTTGTAGCGTGCTTTGTGCACGCGGGTTAACCATTGCGGCATCAACACCTCATAACACCTCATAGCACTCATAACACCTCCCACTGGTTGTTATGACAGCCAGCATAACAACCTCATAACAGCTGTTATGACTCGGCCAAAACCTCATAACACCTCCCACTTTTTAGAAACCTCGAGACATGTAGTGGAAAAAGGAAAGAAAAAGGACGTGAGTTAAATTGCGGGAAAGACAGACAAGTTAAAAACGGAGGGAAGCGTGCAGAGCTGCAGAGAGTACGAGTTAGAAACGGGAAGCAAATTGCGTGAGGGGGGGGGGGGAGGGCGGGTCTTGATTGAGCAATCTGAAGCCATCGCTCAGCCTCAGGAGGCAGGTTGATGTTATTGAATTTAACTTGAGGGCAAAAGAGAAAATATTTGGCGATCGATGCCGAACCTACCTCCTCTGGGGGGGCGGCGGGGGCCCCCGGAGGCACCGTGCGCCGCGCAGCAGTGCGGAAACGGGGCTCCGGCTCTACTAGTCTCTACTAGCACCAACTTCCCGAATGATCACGGTTAATCAGAGGGCAGATTTGGAGAGATCTCGAGGAGTACATACAGATAGACCCTCTAACCATCAGAAAACTCCGACCTGATCGGTCGTACTGACCGCCGACAGATCACTCCAGACAGCAGACAGGCCGACGTCTGCACGCGGCCGGCCTGGCGAGAGGCTTGACACGATCCGACCCTGCGACCGTGACGCTGCTGGTCTAGCTATCAGACATGCACTGCTGACTGCTGCCACAATGTGCGAACGGTGCTGGCCCACTTGGCGGCCTTCCCGGTCAGTGGTGAGGCGCAGTTCAGAGCTGTCGATGGCGCGATGCCGCACTGGTCCCACATTGGTAACACGAGACCACCACGTTTGCCGGTCCAAGAGAGAGGCACTGGTGCTGTCCTGAGAAGGTGCGTGGTCCCTCTTGACTGCCCATGCGCGCGAGGCTGTGTAGGCATAGCCTCGAGAGTGCCAGCAGCCAATCTGAGGCAGTTTGTGACGCGCATTGCGTCAGAAGCGTGCACGCAGCTGGAAGGACACCTTCCTACTGGCCGTACGATCAGGTCGTCACTGAATGCTGGATACTAAGGCCGCGAGCTATGCGGGTGATCAATTGTGCAGCATGGCACGGTCAGCAGCGCCGACAGGCTGTCGCAAGGCGTGATAGCATGGCCGCAAGTACGCCGAATTCCCATGAAAACAAGTATAACGCGCGGGCCCTCAGCGGAGCTGGGAATAGGACCGCCGCAAGCGGCGTGGCGTGGAGCGGTTGAGCATCCCTCCGGGGGCCCCTCTGCGCCGGGGAGGCGTTGTTGGAGGCTAGGACGCAAGCGTCCGTCGCCCTTTTCAGCAGCGTGTCGTCCCCAGCGGCGGTGCTGCGCGGGAGGCGGCCGCGGGCACGCTGGGCTCGATCAGCTTTCCCTAGCACGGATTTGGCGGACGTTCGTGGCTTCAATTTTACGTTTGTCTTGGCACCAGCTGAAGGCTTGCCCCCGTCCACGGCGCAGATCGCCGGATTCGTGCACGGTATTCGGATTTTGGCTATTTGCTCGTGTGGGGGTATATCGCAGATTTGTCAATGGTACCGCGTCTGCGACGCGGGCGCCTTGCGGGCAGAGCCCTTAGCCACCCTTTCATCTTGCGCGGTCAAAAATCGCGGAAAAAAAGAAAAAATGCAGAAAAATCGGCGCCTGCGGCGGGCCATGGGACCCCATCGCCCCCCCACATGGATACCCTCTACGGCCCCCGCGCCCCCCAGAGCCTACCTCGCGCGCGCGGCAGCGCGCGAAGCGAAAATTCCAGCGGCGAGCAGTCCGGCGTGGCCTCTCGAGCCATAACACCGTGGACCCGGGACGGCCCTCCCATAGCAGCCCATAACATGTTATGGGTGTTAGGGCCCATAACAGCCATGACACCCATAACATGTTATGGGCTGCTATGCCCAGAGGGCCATAACACCATAACAATAACTGTGAGTGGGGACAAATATCATCCCGCATGGGGATCGCAATCAGGAAGGCGCCAGCCCCCTCCTGGCTGACTGCGACGAAACGGATCGCCTCGCGCCAGCACTTGTGGTTCTTGCACCTGCCAGTCTTCCTGCCTTTGGCAGGCTTGCAGTGGCCGGCCCGCTGGGACGCCTCGCTGACGAAAGCTTCGGCGAGGGCGAGCCAGTTGCGATGGTATACGCCGGAGGTGTACCGTCGCTGCGCCTGCTGTAAGAATTCGTGGGTAGACGAGAACTCCGAAAGAGGCAGCAGCTCCGCCGCCGGCGTAAGGTTGGGCGGGTGGTAGCGGCGCTGTCGCACCAGCTTGGTCTCCTGGAAGGGTCCAACGACGTCCTTGTACAGCGTGCGCTCGTCCACTTGCGCCACGTGGCGCCGACGTCGTCGCGTTGAGTAGAATTAGACTAGCCAATACTGTTGCTTTGAATACTTCGCCGCCCGGCTAAACTCTGCCCCCCCCCCCCACACACACACAACACGTGGCACATGGCGCTCTCACCATCCCTGGCGTACTGAAACAGGTGACGCGTGCCAATACCAGGGAAGTTCGTCTGAACTGCGAACGAACCGCGAACGAACCGCGATATTTATTTTTGGCTCCTGCAGGCCTGAGAACGGCGGCCGAGATCGCGCTGATTTGGCAGGAAAAGACGAACGACAACGAGATGAGAGCTGTGTATGATGTAACATACGTTCAACAATGGCAGAGACGCTGCCTTCGGGGGCCCCGTGCCGGAATGAGCCGGCCACAGGCCGTGGCCCAGAGCGCTGACGCTCCGAGCCACCGCTGCACGCACGCTAGACTGCCACATTCAGATACTCCTCCTCATCCGAGTACCCGCCCATCACGCACGATTAGTGTTCACGCACGGATCACAGCTCTCATCTCGTTGTCGTTCAACAATGGAGGGACGTGGGCTGACTCGCTTGATGTGGTGCGTGACGGTGAGGTCAAAAGTCAGGTCGACGACCAACAAGTACGTCCAGAGCCCCATGCCAGTGCGCATCTGCGCGAGCATCAGCACCACGAGGACCAGTAGCCGTCGGAGGGGTCGCAGGGCTGTCTCACAATCGGGGTCCAACATGCTGCCTCCTCCCGACCGCACAATTCGACTGCCATCCTCGTGTATTCCTGGGGGTCCAACATGCTGCCTAGCATCGAGGCGTGCTGTTTCAGCATCGAGACGGCTGTGTCCTTCCCGCACAACTTCATTACCATCATCGTGTATTCCTTGGGGAACACTCCCAAGCAACTTTTCGCGCAGTACAGCTCTTCCGTCGTGGACCTCTTGGACCAATTCCCGCCCAAACAACTGTTGGCCCACCAGGAAGTCGGGGCTGCGGCAATGGCGGCTTCCTCGGCCGCCGTTGCCGAGAGCAGTGCCGCACGAGCCATGTGCAGTTCCGCATAGTCCGAATGTGGTAGCGCTAATGCTTCCGCCACTGCCGCTCTCGCGCGCTGCACCGCCTCTCCCGACTCCTTTGTCCAAACCTTGTCCGGCGCCGCCCCTGCCCAAACCTTGTCCGCGCAAGTCGCCTTCTCATGGTTCCGGATGTAGGGAACGGGGACGTCTTCCAAGGTCATGGAGCAATTGGTGGCCTGCGAGGGAGTTTGTGGCTGGGGAGCCATCGCTAGAGCGGGCGGGGAGCGTCCACGCGGCGCGCCTTCTCCTCATGCTTCTCCTCGGCCGGCAGGTCCGCCTACAAAACACAGGCGCAACGCGCAAGAAGGACGTGCGGACCGTGAGCTCGGCCAGCCTATGCGGCCGCAGGGTCTCTCTCGGCCAGGAAGGTATCTCAGAGGGTTCAGAGCCGGACGTGGTGCTCGGGTGGACACTCCAGTCTCCACGCCCCCAATCAGCTGCCAGCTCGACGCACGTGAGTGCTAGTGGCGAACTTGAGTGCTAGTGTCGCTGCAGCAGCACCTCCCCCGCTCGAGCGGACGCGAAAGTAGCACGGAGCATGGGGGAGGGGGGGGGGGGGGGGGAGTGCACCTCGAGGAACGCCGGCTTGCCCGCGATCGCCACCATCATCACGGCTCCCGTCGCAACGGACGTGCCAACGACGGCTGCGCCGGCGAGGAGGACCTTCCACCAGGGGGTCCCCTTGGGATCGATCATCGCGTACTTACCTGCCGGAAGGCGAGCCCACGCGTGCTCAGCTCTCTCCGCCTATCTGATCTAGGGGGCAGGCCGCACGTGCTCAGTCAGCTTGATGTGCGCAGCAGGGGGGGAGCGGGGACACGCTCGAGCGGGAGGAAGGGTGAGCGGGCTGGGCCCACCGTGAGGGGAAGGGGCTGGTCACTGATCTAACGGCGGCTGCGCTGTTGGACCCGCGAGATAGGCTAGTGCTACACTGATCCATCACAAGGGCCGCGCACCGAGTTAGAGACGAGGCCGACGCCGGGGGGCAAAGTCGTCCTTCCTTTGCGTCCGGCCGTCGGCTTTCATTGATTGGCATTGATTTCCTTCCGGTTTCGTAAGTTCTTTATCGAAAAAAGTCATTATTTTTGAAGAGTTAAAAGTCGAATCAGAGCGGTGTCGACATTGTCCTCCATTTTCGAATATACGGCTGCTCGACCTCTCGAGGTCGAGCCGCTCGCGAGAGCCTCGTCATATACACAACACACACGTGCGACTCTCTGGTCTCTGCGAGCGAGCAGCGAGACGGACGGGACACAATACACAGAGAGCAGGGGCCTAGGTGCCGGTCGTCCTCACCTGTGCATTGTGTTTCGGACCAACAAGTTGTTGTGCATGCAAACAGTAGCGTGACGCGCGTCACTGTGCAGGCCGAGCGCCGGGCCAGCACAGCACGCGCCGGCCGCCGCCGCAGAGCGGAGCCAGACCTAGACAGCTAGACCATACGGAGACGTCCCTGTCCACCCCCAAGCGGCACGGTCCAGCAGGAGAGCGCAAGAGACGAGTCCGGCGCTCGGCGAGAGGGGCGGCTGCCCCCCCGGTATGCGCCCGTCTCCTCAGCATGTGGCGACGCTGCGGATGAGCAGCTT